GAAAAAAAAAGATGCTGCTCTCCAAAGAAGCATCACTCTGCTCCGGAAGTTTGCCAGCGGGCACCGTGACCGTTCACAACTCTACTGGCAAGTGGTTTGTAGAATACTGAGACTGGAGTTGAATTTTTTTGGGAAGAATTAGTAGCACGATGTAAGACGCCACACACATCCAGCTGGAGTGGCCAACAAAGAGCGAAGACCTTAAACGCATTAGAGATACTTGGAATGACCTTTATAGGAAGCTTGTGAGAATACGTCTGAGCAGTTCAGTGAGGAAGAATGGTCCAACATTCCTTCTGAATCCTGATCCACAGCTACCGGAAGCACTCGGCTGAGGTTACTGCTGCCAATAGTTGGACGAGGTGTTAAATCCAAGGGTTGCTTTCTCACAAATGGTCAATAAAGAGATGGAATTCCTGAAATGTTTGTTATTAGCTTCTGTTTGACTTAGATGAGATGGATCAGATAACATGCTACGACCAATTAATGCAGAAAACCAGGAAATTCCAAAGGACGGACATTCTTCTTCACACTTTCCCTCTTTTAATTTCCTTTTTTCGGTGTGACTCGGCCCACGGGTCGGTCCTGATTTGTTAGTTTTGCATTTGAACGGCAGAATTCATTCATTCTGCTGCACCGAGCTGTAAGTGTTTTTAAGACCTGAATCCTTTCAATACTGTAAATATTCAGCTTACAATGAAAGACTGCAAAATAAAGAAAATGCATATATTATTTTTTATCTTTTAGGAACAACGATTGACAAAATAAGCTGTTAGTTAGTGTTTGTATATGCATAAATCGTAATCTAGGGAAAATAAATATAGTTTTGGCCTTTAACCTTTTAGGGTGTGACTTCTGAAGATGTGTGATTTCTCATTTTTATTTCAAGTGTTTGTCAGGAATTTTATTTTGTCATCCAATTTAGAAGGAAAGGAGAAACAACACGGCCCTATAAACGGCACCTATAGAAGTCTAGACAGTTTCATAATGACGCTGCATGTTCTAGCACATAAGGTATGTATAATATGCGGTTTCCAATTAGAGAACTCAAATGAGTTGATTTTATTTTCGCTCTATTTTATGTTAGTCTGTCTGAATATGAGTGTGTTACAGTAAAATGCAGTTTCTGTTTTACATCATTGTTTCTTTTATACCTCAAGAAAGTCACACATATTCATCTGCTGGACAAATAAACACATCTCTGGCTCTACATGTGTGAACTTACCGGCTGGTGGACGCCAACGTACTGCGTTCAGGTAGACGCCACAGTAGTGGAACATGAACTCGTGTTCTGATCGCCCGACTTTCCCCTCTAACAGTGGCATTAGATTGTAGCCGTCTAGTTGTCTGGGGTGAAAACACAGAGTACAGAGGTGAAAAAAAACAAATGGATAAGAGACAACCTGTGAGTTTGTTTGTAGGGGGCACAGAATGAGTGAATAAGTGATCACGGACCCAACCAGAGTCACGTCTAGAATAACTGAGTAGCTCTAGTTTAGTAAAAAATACACGTATTCAACAAATACAAGAAAAACAAAAACTCTGGTGGAAGGAATGACACAGAATACAAAGAATGCTTCCATTACAGCGACTCTGTACCTGTCTGGCTGTGTGTCCTTGGCTAAATATTTCAGCGTGGGGTACAGATCCATGAGACTAGTGGGCTCGTCCACCACGCTTCCTGCTGCCAGTCTGCCAGGCCAGCGGAAAATACCAGGTACCCTGATGCCTCCTTCCCAGCCTCCCATAGCCTTTCCGCCTAGAGGCGAGACAAACAGGAGAAATTACACAAATGTTAATAAAGTAGCTTTGAGATGTGAAATTACTTGAACATCTGAGGGCTGCACTACGAAGCAGGTTTGACATAGCCAGGCTCGACAAAAACGAAAGCCCCAGCCAGAGATAACGTGGATCACGAAGGTGGTCAAACTTTCTCTGTCAACTCAGATTTTCTGCTTCAGACTCTGTGAACGTTCTAGTCAAGGAGGCGTTTAACGTGTCATGTGACTCTTCTTCTTACAAAAGTAAACAACCCTGTGCTGCTGCCTCAGTCAACACATTTTAATGGAGAACAAAGACAAATTTTACAAAAAAATATGACAGTTAAAAGCGCCGCTACTACAAATGGTGCAAGACAGAAATGCTGGTAGAAACCTGTTAAACGTGTTCATATATAATATTTACCGATGCAGCCGTTTATTTCCAACTGACAGCTGAACCTTTAAGATAAACTTTAAACTTAATATATTTAAACATGATCTTGTATTGAAGTGCATTCAGGTCTGATGCTGTCCCATCATGCAGGAAATCACTTTAATTTTTGGCCAAATCAAAGCGAAATTACTGCTATTGATTGAATATTCTCTGTAATAAATACCAGTACAATAATCCATTTTCTGTGTTCTATCAGCTGCAGTAGCAGCAGAGTAAACGGACTGGACAGCAAATCAGAGCCAAACATAAAAACATATTTATTTGATTTCTGCATTGTCAACTAAATACACATCTGGTTCCCATGGCAACGTGACACACACAGCGTGCGATACTGTAACTGCACGGCTTCATTCAGTGATGTTAGCAACACACATCTCAGCATGTTTACAGATAAAACACATTCCCTCAGCTGAGAATCTGGATCGCTCATAAATAAAAGTCGGGAAATTATCTGGTTAACGGGAGACGCTCTGTCTAGCTGATTTAAATCCTAAACTCTGAACCTGCTCCCGACCAGGTTAGCTCCACAGCATCTGTTACCATGGAGATCCAGCCTAGGATTATTTAAGCTCAACATACCTCGCTAACCCTCTAATCTCGCTTCGTAGTACAGCCCTCAGCTGCATAAAAGGTTAGTGGACATTGGTTACCTTTATAGATGCCATTCCAGCCTCCTTTCTGGCCAGTTGCCAAACTAGAATCCTCCAGGTGTCCGCCGTGGTCTGATGTGAAGTACATGAGAGTGTTGTTGGCGAGGCCGAGGGAATCCACCGTCTCTGTTAGTTTACCTAGAAAACAAGGTGGATTGGGTAGATGCAAGCGAGTTCAAACTCTGCTATGACTTTACTGACTACTACAGGATGATTTCAGTTTACTAAAACTCGGATCTTACTTTTATACATTTGGTAATAATTTCAAGTAGGATTGAAATCCTGAACCGGGTCTCTGACATCCACCAAGCTAGAGGAGGCTGTATAATGTTAGACAATGCATCCACATAGTAACGCTTTCTCCTTCCACCCGTCACTCACTCACCAATGATCCAGTCCATTTCTTCTACAGTGTCACCGTAGCGACCGTGCCGACTCTTGCCAGCAAACGCCGGCGTTTTGAAGAGCGGCGTGTGGACGTGGGCCAACGAGAAAAAGAGGAGGAATGGCTGATCAGCGTTCCTGAAGAGACGAGGAAAGGAGTCAAAAAAAGCTCTCTGATCAGTTCATTTAAAGCTTGCATTGATTAAACCCCTAAAAGCTCATCTCTATTCATCATAATTACACAATTAGAAGTATTTTTAAATGGAAATAGTCCCCTCAGGCCGTGCAAAAGGCTTAGATGTAGCTGTTCATCTTTGCCTTCTTTATTATGCGCAGATCTATGAATATGCAAGTTAGTCCCTGCCTCCTCACCGCTCGCCTGCACACCTATTCAGCTTCGGCTGTGCTAAAATGCTGACCAACCGCTCTTTGCTGCAGAGTTGTGATGTTGGAGTAACTGAGCAAAACATGTTTGAGCTGGAAACCACTGGGTCAACAGTTTCTGCTCATCTCACATTTGTGTGAAATTTTTATAGCATAAAACACAGATATTTATACTGATTTATTTATTATTTATTTATTTATACAAATTTAACAATTTCCCTGAGGTTTTATACCGAAGGGATCAATGAAGTTTTATTCTATTATATTCTATTCTAGATATGTGTGAACTTGATATATCAAAAAAAATATTATGGATAGAATTTTTCAAAATATTGTACATTGATTTGGAAATTTCAGGTTATCTGTTCTTGATGTGTTGTCATTCAAACATAGCCTCGAATTATAATGTGCAAAAAAAAATGTGCTTAAAATATGTAGACAGGACATTAAAAAAAATCTCAAAAAGTATTTGATAAAATAAGCTAAAATTGAACAGATTTCATTTTAAATATGCACCAAAAAAAGTTTCAGGCAAATTTAAGACAGTCAAGCAAAAGGCCCCCCAAAGATTTCCGTTTGGAATAACCCCATTTTGTTTTGCTGACAAATTTTCAAGAAGAAGAAGAAGTGTACACAGTCGCTGACAAGTTAACTCATCAGCATTTATTATTGCTCACTAGTGTCAGTAAAGTAGTGACGATAGATAACGTGAGCTTATCTACAGCATCAAAAGCCTTATAACGTGTCGCTGGTGTTAAATAAAGGCGTGTTTACATCCGTTTACATGTGATCCACTGATACAGAAATCATGACAAAAGCCACTGAAAGAAAAACCACTAATGGTCTGTAAAGATTTAGAGCAATTTCTAAGTAGTAATAATAATTTTGGTGATTTCCGTTCTTATTCTAAGATGCATCTTTAGAATGTAAAGTTCATTTTCTCACCATAACCCTGAACTCAGAAATAGTTTCTATGCAAATGCCATATATGCACTAAACTCAGGACACATCAGTAATTCTAGTGTTTAATGGGTTTGATTGAATGGTTTCATGAATGTTTTTTATTAATATTTTATCTTGATAGTCTTACATGTTTTTGTTTTTATGTTATTTTATTTATTTTTTTTATTTTTTTTAAATTAGAGATGGCACTTTCAATTTCGTTGTTCTCACACACTGACAATAAAGACATTCTGATTCTGATTTTTGATTATATGGGACCATACAGCTTCAAGCATATAACTGTCCCTCAGTTATCATGGCTGATAACTATCTCGATAAGAGTTGGCCATATCTAATCAGCCAGCAGATAAAAAAGCTAAACTGCCCTGATTAGATTGCAAACAGGATTAAAGGTTTATGAGTGTTTCATCATTTTGTGCTCCAAAGGACACAGCTTTGTTCCTGCATTCCTACCTCTTTATAAAATTTTGTGCCTCTCCCAGCAGTCTCTGGGGCAGCGTCTCCACGGTCATTGGCTGTTCGATCACCTCTCGGTTCCTCATGATAATGCAGTTCCAGGTTGGCAGGAGCATAAAGGGCACATACCACACGGCGGTTGCTAGGATACAAAGAAAGAAAAGTGGTACCAGGAGCCACGGGCCGACTTCAAAAAGGCCACACAGACGGACACACACCTGAAAAGACAGAACACGGACAAAGAAACGCCACGCTTAGAAATGATTTCTTTCTCTCACTGGTAGGGCTTCTCATTCTGACAGATCTTGACCTCCAGCGTTCAGACACTAAGAACATCTTCCATCAAAATACCAACTTGTTAGTAATCAGATTGTTTTGCATAATGATGTTAGACAACCACACTACCACAAACAAAAAGTGTGCACATTTACTTAAATCTTCTCCGACAATGTTTAAGGTGTCATTTCTACAATCAGAGGATGTGTTGCACAGCTCACATCACTGTGAAGTCATCTGGAGTTAGATTCATATGCACTTCCATGATGCTGCCACTAGATGACATTACAAGCCAAAGCAGGTATTTATTTATACTGAGTGAAACAAACAGTACATTGTGTCCTTCAGTCACACATACAGTGAAGTATTCAAATTTAGATCTAAAAATATGTTCATCCGGCAGCATGTGACAGGGACATCAGTCTTCCTGCAGGGCACTCGACTTTCTCTAGTTCCTTAGTTTGAGTCATTTGTTTGTCCTCAAACAAACTGTTTGTTTCAAGCTTTTCTGGTTTGCTATACCTGCAGCACAGCTGCTTCCAATTTGTCCTATAGGTGCCTACCATCGCCAAGTCTTTAATTTTAGTTTCGATGTTACGGTTCCACTAAAACAAGTTTCTGGCTGGCGTGACTATGAGTTTCACAACTGCAGCTTCTGTCTTTTTTCCAACCCTTTGGCACATGTCTAAGTGATTACACATCAGTCATTTCGCTTTGGGGTGAACGGCACAACAACTCTTTTGTTTTCCAGTTTCTTTCTCATCGTCTGGCAACGAAAATGGATCTGTTTTGTTTTTAATTTTTTTTGTTTTAGCTCAGACTTGATTCCCCGCCTCCCGCCTCCGAGCATCTTGTTCAAATGTACCACAAAGCGATAATATCTGTGGAGACGAAAATCCAATATAAACTAACACAAAATCACATTTACCAACGTGACAAATCCAACGCCGAGCATCATGGTAAGATTTTGGAGCGTCTGCTGGAGATCCGCCAGCACGTCGCTGCCCTGTCCGGGCACGCAATCATTGAAGAAAGTGAACGGGAGGCCGTAGAAGTAGCTGAAACCATGCTGGTTCGGGTGATGACAGTGATCCCCTCTGTGTTCGCAGTTCACACCCAAGTGCCATTTACCTGCAGGCACACACAGAGTGAAAAAGAGAGATGTACAAAGACAATCATAGACAAAAGGAAAGAACACTGAGTGCACACTCGGCTCGCCCGGTCACTATCCTGAGCATCTTTCCCGGCACAGAGCAGTGTATGCCAGCTTTCTTCAGGTTTTCATGTGCTGCCAGTGCTTGTAAAGTGTGTAAACGTTGATGGAAACTGCCTCGTTATGCACAATGAGGTTTCCTCGTCTTTATGCAACACAGAGAAGTACACGTTACACCAGGAGTGGGCAATCCTGGTCCTGGAGGGCCACAATCCTGCATGTTTTAGATGTTTCCTTCTTCCAATACACCTGATTCAAATGATCAGCTCATCATCCAGCTCTGCAGAAGCCTGACAACGATCCTGATCATTTGAATCAGGTGTGTTAAAAGAAGGAAACATCTAAAACATGCAGGATTGTGGCCCTCGAGGACCAGGATTGCCCACTCCTGCGCTACACGCTACATTCTACATGTATACGCTGTGTGTAAACATTTATGCGCCTCAGCTTCAAGCCACAACATGACGGTGGGCCACGACTCTCCCTTTGCCTGAGGAGGGTTTTAGTAGAAATTTCACAGCGAGGACGGATGGATAAATAATCGCAGCGTCTCACCCACTAGGCCGGTGGCGTATCCTTGTTGCTGCAACCTTTTGGCGAAGGTGGTCTCGCCGGGTGGAAGCCCGCCCGAACCCCCGACGAACAGCAGCACCTGGACGCGCCCCGTGCTGCCCATTCCTGGTCGACACACATAAACAAGTGTGTAAAAACAAAATGAAAACACCATTTAGGACTCAAATTAAAAAGCAGAAGATGTGTGATTTCTCCTTTTCATTTCCTGGCAAGTATGTTTCAGGAACTTTATTTTGTCATTCAATTTGGAAAGAAAGGAAACAACGCTGCCCTGTGATCGACACCTACAGAAGTCTAGACAGGAACATTCAGGGACGTGTCGTGTGGTTTTAGACAGAACGCTACCTGAGCGGAGTGCATAGCGGCCCGTCATGAAAGCGGCCCGGCTCGGGGTGCAGAGAGGTGCAGCCGCAATGTGCTGAGTCAGCTTCACGCCCTCAGAGGCCAGTCTGTCGATGTTAGGAGTCCTGCAAGGACACAAGAGTCGCATTAAATAAAAAATAATACAAGCACATGCATTTCTGAGCAGCACATGTGGATAGATCTGACACTATCAATCAAAAGGAGGGATGAAGAATTTGTCAATAATGGAGTGAGGAAACACAAGAAGGGGCGAGCTCTTCCTATTTACAGTTTATTCGTTCTCTTTTTCTTCCTGTCACTTTTTTTGTGCTCCTTCCTCTATCTATACTTCTGCAGCAAGTGGTGGTTTGGAATAAAGTGCAATCTAATCTAATCTAATCTAATCTAATCTAATCTAATCTAATCTGAGAATCATGACACATGTGTTAGGACTTACCTGATGGTGTCATTCCCATAACAGCCGACATCACCGATACCAAGGTCATCCACCATCATCAGCACAAAGTTGGGCTTGTTGCTCACCTCCTCCCCTGAGACTCGACTCCCTGCTGCCAGGAGCAGAAGCGCCAACCAGGGAAACCTCAGAGTAAAACATTAACAGTCAGAGTTCAGCATACATCCACACACCGTGCTGACATTGCATTCTGTGGTTTCAACTAAGAAGAAGGAACAAGTTGCACATTTTGTCGTCCTTAAATTGTAAAATTGGGCTTCAGACAGTAAAAGCATTGCCTTTTGGACTCTGCAGAATTGGCAGCTTTTATGACACTGTGTGCAGTTTCATAGCTCCACTTAAAAGACTGCGTTGCAATAACTCGACACTTTTCATGCAAACAATAAAGTTTATAGGCACAAACTTTACACCTGCTTTCATAATATGACACCGTGGGCAAAGTACACACTGTCAGGAGAACAAACGCATTCAGATGTCTCTCTGAATTTATTTCATCCTGTAGGGTTTTTTATTTGTATTTGTTACCGTATTTAATGCAGCAGAAAAAGCACGCACAGTTGTTTATAAGCAGGTAAATCTTTCCATGTGGACTCACCTCATACTTTGCCTGCACAACTGCTTCAGCGTTCATGCGCTATTGATGTCCACACAGTCTGTGCTTACGTCACCAGCCCGCCTCAGTCACGCTGCCGTAATGTCTGGACTGCGAGCGCAGCGCATTTACCTCAATGTATGAAGTAAAGGCGCAGCGATACTCATTGGTGAAGACTTCATATAGAGAACAAGTTAATGGTTGACATCAGCCTTATAGAAAATTCTAGTTTTCAGACAGACAGTTGGGATTAATGTTTAGCAGCCACTTCAACTGTGTAGCAAGGTCATATTTTCATAACTAAATCAGGTTTGTGGCAAACAAGTCTGACTGACTGGATGTGGACTGCAGATATAAGCAGCTGTTTTCTTCTGGCTTTCCACTGCCTGTGTTAACATTTTCAATTTGTCATTTTAATAACAGTGTTCACATCCTTACCTAATCAGTTCACTATTTTGCTGGGATGCATCCGTTGCTTAGCTCTGCCCAGTACAATTGTAATTGGTTTTAAAAAACACAAACTAAGCATTTTTTTCTCCCCTGTAGCAGGATGTTTATAAGATGCAGTCAGACCATTCGACCATTCTGTGTGGCAGGATCCTTTGGCTGTAGCGAACTATCATTTGTCTTCTGGCTAACTTTGTGCCCTTCTTGAGACAGAAACCTGTCAAAGCTCACATTCGCAGCTACGGCCAACATAGAATCACCGAGCAGCCTCTTGTCGTGAAGCTACTACGATACTACAAATACTACAGAAAACATTCATAGTAAACCTGCTGCAAAACCTGCTGAAAAAGTTCCCTGGAAGTTTGCCACAGATCTAATTTGCATATTGTGCTCTGATTATTGTTATGCCAATGGATAAACATTCAGTTTGTTCTTTTCCTGCCTTTGGTATATCCATGTTTAAAAGATCTTGCTTGGTTGCTCGGTGGTTAGCACCGTTGCCTCGCGGCTAAAAGGTCACCAGTTCACGTCCCGGTTAGGACGATCTTTCTGCGTGGAGTCTCCATGTTCTCCCCGTGCAGCGTAGGTTCTCTCCAGGTTCTCCAGCTTCCTCCCACAATCCAAAAGCATGTTGAGGTTAATTGGTGATTGTAAATTGTCTGTAGGTGTGAATGTGAGTGTGCTGGTTCTCTAAGTGTAGCCCTTTGACCCCACGACCCCAGTGAGGATTAAGCGGTGTATAGATATCGGATGGATATTGTGTTTTATAAAATATTTTGGGGTTCTCTTCAAAGGAGAGGTTGAAAGGTGTAGATTTAATAGCAGCGCAGGCGTTTGACCACATTATTGATGATTTTTAGATTCATATATTTTATATTTCCTTTGTACCACAGGATACAGCAGTATAGAAGGAAATATCACCCACTATATTTCTTTGATGAACATGTCTACGACCTTGTAGTTTGTGAGTTGCAAACATAGTTTAGGTAAAGTCAAAGTAGATAGCTTTAAGATGAATTAGAACTCCGATAGTATGTGTGATGGTTAAGTCTTATTCTTCTTATACCATCTCACAGCCTCACAGATGTGTGACACCCAGGCTGGGAACTGCTGCTTTAAACAATGCGTCAGTTTTTTGACATGACCTCAATTAAACTGAAGAGTCATTTGACTGGTGCAACTTAAACTGCTGCTGTCAAAGCACATTCCAATAAATCTGAAAAATTACAGTCTAGGAACATTTTTTAAAAACCAGACGACTTTTACTTGTAAGGGAGCATTTTTACGCTGAGGAACAGGTGGTTTAGATTGTTGTTGTTTTTTTTTTTGTTTTGTGTTTTGTACTTCTGGCATTTTTATGAGTCAGCTCATCTCACAGATACCAACACAGCAGAGTTTGATTGTTTCAATCAAAGATAATTCTGTGTGAGTCACTTGGAATCAATAAACTGCATTAGTCACTAGCAGGTCTCCGTAGCCGCTCTCAGTGCTGGATTTAATTAGATGGTTTACAGTTGGGGAGGGGTGCAAGGGCTTGCGGGCACGAAATGAATTCGTGCACAGGCATTAGGTGTGTTTGTGTTTAGCAAGAACACCTTACGCAAGTTCCCACATTTTACCTCTGAGGACTTGATGAGGCATCTTTATGCACCTGTCAACATCGATCATTCAAGAAGGTGGAACTTGCGATGTGAGTTTCCTTCTATAAATACCTGACATTTCAAGCATTTCAATTCGTGTCTTATGGTGCCGGTTTGTTTTCACCTTTCCCTTTGAGCTTTATTGGCTTTCAAACGGCTTGCAGGCACCAAAAAACCACAAACAAGGGCATGCAGGTACACAAACTTTACATCAAGGTGTTTTTCTCACCAGTAAAGAAAGGCTGCATGTCTGTCATATCTGCATCCTATAAGTCAGGGGTGTCAATCTCAAAAACACAGTGGGCCAAAATTTAAAACAAAGTCACAGGCCAACATTGAACAAATGAACCTTTTAATATGGAGCGAAACAAATTTTGCTTGAACATTGAATATGGAACAAGCAACGCTTATTACCATACATTATCCATCCATCCATTTTCTATACACCGCTTAATCCTCACTAGGGTCGCGGGGGGGCTGGAGTCTATCCCAGCCGACTTAGGGTGAAGGCAGGGGACACCCTGGACAGATCACCAGTCTATCACAGGGCCACACTTAGAGACAGACAACCAAGCACACTCACATTCACACCTATGGACAATTTAGAATCACCAATTAACCTCAGCATGTTTCTGGACTGTGGGAGGAAGCCGGAGAACCCGGAGAGAACCCACACTGCACGGGGAGAACATGCAAACTCCACACAGAAAGATTCCGGTGCCCCCACCGGGACGCGAACCGGCGACCTTCTTGCTGCGAGGCAACAGTGCTACCAACTGCGCCACCCTGCAGCCCAATCGTGGAGACATGCAAAATCAAAATATAAATAAAAAAACACATCAATGGCACAATGACAGTTGTAGTGTGAAGTCGCTATGCCTACTGTCACAGAGGAGAGGGAGTTTCTGGGTCCTGTCCTGATTGACGTGACAAAACAACAACAGGGCATTATGGGATTTGTAGTATTAGCGGTGAATGCGCTGTAGAGTATAATACCGGGGGCAACTCTAGTAGTCGTTTGGTATTGTCTCGCGGGCCAAATATAATTACAAAGGGGGCCAAAGTTTGACACCCCTGCTATAAGTCATAGAATTCCTGCATTTGAGGATCCTTCTTACAGATCATTGTACTAGTGGTCATGTCAGCGTGAGGACATGCAAACAAGGTGCTATGCCAACATGCCAACCAAGTGTTCACCAAGCTTATGATCATGTTTCAGCGCATTACCCTGCTAACATTTACCAACAGTAAACACAAACACAGCCGAGTCTGACTGCATTTGACTAACAAATATTTAGACCCAATGATGCTACATGTTACATCCTCTTGGCACCATGAACGTCTGCACACAATTTCACAGCAATTCATTGACTCTGTTAAGATGAACTGGCTAAAATTCAGACAAAAAACACAAACGTACAAATAGAATCCAAACACAACAGCTCCCACGAAAACTATTTAATTGACTCCTCAAACATTATTTACACAACTCCAGAAGAATACAAGTGCCAGATGACAAAAAAAAAATGAAGATGACAGTTCCTACACACACACAAAAAAAACAACAACACAGAATCTTTAAATAAAAAGGAAGAATCTTACACTCGTCTAAATCAAAAAATGAGTTGTCTAAATGTGTTTAATAAATCAAGATGTATACAGGATAGGAAAGTGCTTCTCCCTTACAGATTGTTATTACAAAACATCTCTGCTTGTTTCACTGTTTCTCTCTGATGATGACATTGTTCTTTGTTGTCCTCTCAGGAATATTCAAGAGGGTATAAGGCAGGACCGGTCAGCGCCATGATTGATGCCCTAGCATTACCTGGGAAGTGCACTTCAGGACCCAATAAGTCTTAAGGTTTACATTCTTTGCTCCGATACTTGGTGCTTATAAGGAATGTGACTAAATAGTGTGGACCATAGTGCTCATAACACAAGCAATCAATGCTCCATTTTTCATTCATTTCAGGATTTTAATATTGCTGGAGGCTCTTTTACTTTTTTTTTTATTTTTTATTTTTATCAAATCCGTCCCAATAGGTTTTTTTTTTCTACTGCAGGATTTCAGAGTGCTTTTGTTGGTCCCTATTGCACTTACTGGAGTGCACAAAGGGGGAAAGTACTGCATTTATTTTCTACTTTGAAGGCATCGGTGGCTATTTCTAAAAGCTTGTACTCTTATTTAGTGGGTATTTTGTGCATTATCACTCCGCGCCAGACACGCTTATCCGCTCGCTCGGCTGTCTCAAGAGAAACTCGTCTATCGTCTATCACAGATTACAGGAAAAGCAGGCAGAGCTTTGACCCTGTGTCCAGCCCACAGTTTGTAGTGTAGAATTAATCGATATGTGACATCACAGACTATTAATATTTCTCGGCTTGAGGCTAGGCTGTTAGCAACAGTCTCTGTCCTGTATTGCAGCTATATGGTGCTTTTACAAGTAACACACTTTACATAAAACTGCAGCACGATGCAACCTCTAGAACCATATTTAAAAGTTTAAAGGGAGCAGGGCAAGTACAAAACTTCAAGGCAACAAAAAGACATTCAGAAGTTAGTAATGTTTTTTTTTTTTTCTTTTGTTGTGCTACAGTGGCAAAAAAAAAAAAAAAAAAAAAAAGCAGCAGTAGCGCTTCTTCTGAGGCATTTCACAATAAGTCATCACAAAATACCACAGCAAACAAGTTGACTAAAGACTATCTGCGTCGGCTCGGAGGCACCACTGCTAAATGTAAAGAATTCATATAAAAATTACAGGTGGTTGGTGATTTTTTTTTCTTTCTTCCCATGTGGAGATATGAATGATACAAAAACACTGTGACAGCGACTGGCTTGCTCAAATGAAGAGACACACAACGAGAAGAATTTCACGTCTGAAATCAACGGCGGCTGTTAAAAAGAGTTTGGAATGTGAGTCGAGTTATAAAAAGCACAAGAACTATGACGGCAAACCGGCCTCCTGCGAACACAGCAGCTGTTGTGTGTAATGCAGCTATTTTACGACCAGTTCAATGTCACCACCAAAAAACAGATCATTTATGGAATAATAAAGAGCATACATTCTTAATTTTTTCTGTCTTCAGCTACCTTCCCTGTGTGTCTGTAGATTGGTCAAGCCAGGCTGTGTCAGTGAAAGGCACTATAGCGAAGAAATTACTGCATCACAACTAGACTGACACAAACTACATCAGAACAATGTCTAACACAATACTACATGAACTCCTTTTTTTTTTTTTCCTTTTCGTTTTTTTTTTTTTTTTTTTTTATAATTTGTCCATGTCAGGTGACCATTCATCCATGTACAGAATTAGGGTTGGAGTAGAAATCACTTCGATTCACTTCAGTAAAGTTTAGATTTGGGTTAAACTGATCTGGGTCTTGAATCAGTTTCTGTGGACTTTGCACTTTTTCCAGAGGTCAATAAGAAGTTTCATCAACATTCAATTTATTCAGCGGACTGAGGAGAAGTGGTAGTCACTTAACAGGATTTAAAACTAAGCCCCTTCACCGATCAAAAAAAAACAAAAAAACAAAACACACATACACACACACACACAGTGACATCGTTGGCCCTCTAAACACAGATCGGACCATATAACAGCATCCCCAGAATACTAGGATTAAAGTCCTACACTACTGTTCCAAGTCAGAAACCACAAAATACAGTGTAGTTTTTAAAAGCCCCCCCTTTTTAGTCCATTTGTCCTGCATTTTGTACTGCAGGAAATTGTGTTTGGTTCCCCATGAATTTTCTAAATCAGAAGGGTGGTTCAAACAATGGCAGAATCAGAAAAAAAATAATAAAATCCACTTGTAATAATTCACTACAAGTTAAACACCTACAACATCAATGCCTATTACTGGTTTTATGTTCACACTGAATTACTAGAACTGCGTAGTAGCCATACAAATAAAGTAAAAAAGTAGCTCTGTAGTTAATCCATTTTATGGTTATATTTAATTTGAGATTTAATCTCTTTCATGGCCACTCTGAAAAAAAGATTTGGTTCGAAGTCGTGAGTTTGACCGATCATTTGAATAAATTCCTATGTCGTAACAATCATAAAACCCCTAAAATTCACATATATTTACTTGATCTTTGTCTAACTCTTTTTTTTCCCCCCCCACGTGTTCACGCAGAATGAACACACACATATGCACACTCACACACACACACAGGCTCATGTACACCAACACACACACACGCATACACACTAACGCACGCTCACACAGAGACACACAGCCCTAATCTGGGGCCTCACAGTAATTTAGCTCTACAGAGGATAGAGCCTAACAGTGAGATTGCCACTTTGCTTGACTGTAGTTGGTCCAGGCAGTCAGGTGATCACAGCTGGTCTAGGAGGAGTTCAGCAGGGTACTGAGGACTGCACAAGAAAAAGAAACTCAAACAGTTAAAACATTTCCAAGTACCGAACGTGAATGTTGTTTAAAAATGTATTGTGAGCGTCTGTGTCGTACCCTGGGGATCCGACTGAGCCTCCGCTGCATCCGCTTTGTGTGCAGCCTCCGGATCCGCTTCTAATCGCGAGGATTGACGAAAATCAGTCAGAAAACCACGAAAAGACAAAACAAAGCAGAGAAAGGATCACGTTGCCAGTTTGAATTTCACAAGCATTTAGCAAAATAAATCATTTTAACAGTCATTGGCAGAAATCATTTCATGGTTCCCTTTGGCAAATCTGACGAACGGGGATTTGTCCCGCTTCATCTTCGCCGTGCAGCTCCACTGGCAAGATATTAAGCTCCCAGAGGGGAGTTTGTGGGCATGTTAATATTTCTCAGCTCTAATTGCTTATTTTTTACCACTGTGAAACTTTGCTTCATTTTCTGGTGTAACAGCGCAAAACTTATTCATATCCGTACAGTCAGAACGTCCAATTTATTGTTACTGGAGCAGCTCCGGGCTGTACGTTCTGATGACAACACCAATTACAGTCCTCACTCGCTACCACTCAGGGAGAAAAATTCATATTCATGAACACTGACTGAGCTTTCTTCCAAATTTGCATGGGGACAAGATATAAAATTCATAAATGTGATATTTATTCAAATGCAGAACACTGAAACACACACTGGTGATTAATCCACATATATTCAAAGCAGATGGTTATTCTCAATCTGACTTTTGCCCCACATCGCTAAAGCTGCATGTCCTATTCATGTTGACTGTAAATGAAAACTTTGCTGAATTGGCAGTATCGGGATGCAGGATGTGTGTGAGTTGACTGTAATCGACAACACTTCCTGAGAAAGTAAAGCTGAGTGTGCGTTGGCTCCAAGAAGGACCACTGACCTTCAGAACTTGTACTTTTTTAGATGGAAAAACACAAATGCAAAGTCCGCTCTTTGGCTCTGCGGCTTCAAGTGAAACATATGCAGTGCTTTTCTTAACTCTTTAAGGATCTAGTGGGGTTGATATTAGTCTCCCAGTGCTTTGATCCCAACAGCTGAAGTTAATACTAATACACTACACCAATCATTACTTAAGAAACTACAGCCCAGAGGAGTTTCTCATGTTTTAAGTTCTTGTCACGTATCAAGCCGTGTGTTAACTAATTATTATTACTTAGGCAGTCAGCTATTACAACGTAATGTAAGGTAATTACCCTGTCTGTTTTTGAAGCACAGTTTCTTCTTCTGGTAGGTGAAGTATCCAGTGACTGCTCCCACAGCAGCCACCCCAACTGCACTTAGGATTCCTGCTAAAGAGCCGGAGCCGCTCTCTGCAAGGAAACAAACAAAGTGCATCAGAGGAGAGGAAGGTGCCTCCAGCCGGCAGCATCATGCAAAAATGGCATTTTGAACTTATAACACATCAGTATGAGCCTGTTTTAAGCTGGTAAAGTGACTGCGTTTGAATGTTTTTCAGGCCCGTGCTCAGCGTCACCACAGGGCGCCATTTTGCAGCCGTTTGGCAGAATGAACAGCTATTCAGCAGTGACGCTCAGTGACGTGATATCATGTGTGCATCATGCGTGTGTGTTTTTGAGAGTCATCACAGCACATACTGGTGCCTTTTCAGTCAAGGGATCATAATCTATAATTTAGCGAGCATTCACAGAAATCCTTCAGCACCTGTAGAACCGAGTTTCTATGACAACACCCATTTGAATAGTTTTCATGCTGGTTTTTTTTCCCCTTCACAGGCAAGTAGAGAAACCGTTAAAAACACCACAAAATAATTCAGTTCTTAAGTACATGCAATTATTTGCTCTCAGCCAGTTTAATTAACAGTTAATAGGTTACGTCTAAACTATGTTGCCCTACATAGTTCAACGCTACTTGGCGCAATATTTAAGGTGTGACGTAGATGCCGTTTACCTCGAAAGCCCTTTAGTGTTCCTATTGTGTGTTATAATTGAAAGATATGCCGAGGAAACAATAGAGAGGAAGATGGAGTCGGCAGAATAAAGACGAGTTAGAAACTCATGAACAAATGAAAGAACGAAAGGGTACACTAAATCCAGCGGCTGGCGATAAGGTGAGAAAAACAGGCGAGAGGTATGAGTCAGAGAACGGAGATCAAAAACGGGGATGACTCAGAAATGTCATATGTTGTGACTCATGAGCTGTAAAGTGGAATACAGAATGTCGTGAGTCAGTAAACGGATGTAAAAGCAGGTGCAGGCACGGACGTGTACGAACATGCGTGTGCAGAAATGCAGAACACGCAGCATGGATGCAGCTGGTCCCGGATTTTTATTACTTAAACGGATGCAGTGGTATCGAGTAATAATGGAAATAGGTGTGCTGAGTATCATCAAACCATTTTTTTCATATATCGAAGCCATAATAGCTGTTCCTATTGTACAGATTTTTAAGTTTTGCAGCACTGGTGGCTTCAATTTTTCAGTCATTCGGTTGAATTCTGGCACTTGTGCTTACTTTGCCTCAAGAAATTCATAAAAAATGTTCTTGTAAATGTCATGCAGGAACAACACACCCGCCAAGGCCTCTGCCCACAAAACAGGCGAGTGGTTTCGTTGCATGGACCGTGTGTTTGGGGCAGTGCAGAGGTCGATAGGTGGAAGGATTATGTGTTTACAACAAGAAGAGATAAGAGAAGGACAACTCACCTTTAACCTCAGGTTTATCTGTTCAGAAGACAAAGAGAAGAAACATGTATTACATTTAACAACAGGAAACTGCATCTTTTATAGCTGCATAGTAGTAAACGCACAAACGTCTTTGGAAAAACACATTGGAGTTACACACAATAAACGTGAGCCAGTTGAGTTGAGCAGCCACAAACAGACACCTGTCCCTCCACTGCATCTGCTTCCCAGACTGACCTTCAGGAGCAGATGTTACTTCCAGCAGATGTGGCGTGACAACATGTGAGAACTCACGGTCTTAAAGAAGGACTGTTTCAAACAATAGAGGAGAGGCATTTTCCACTGACTCTTGTATCCTGTTTGCATTGTCAGAGGCATGCCAGTAATATCCTGTGTGTTTCCCCAAGTTTTAGAACTACATAAGCCCGACTGCTGCTGCTGTGGCTGCAACACCGTGTTCAGCATCTGACTGGGATTTGTGTGATTTGGCCTGAAGATGGCACAATGTGAATACTGTGTTGTTCTTATGCATATTTTGATCTAGAACACAAAAAAACCTGTACCACCTCCTGAGGTGCCCAAAGAGAGACAGAAAGAGAAGCAAGTGAACCAGGAGGGAGGTGGAGAGAGAGGGCATTATTTAAATGTGTTAATGATGCATGTAAAGCATTGTGACAGAGATGGCAGAGGAAAACAGAAGAAAGGTGAGCTTATTCTCTTTGTGGTAGTTTGTCCCTCAGGGGTATTATTATTAGGTGTAGAGTTTCTGTCCGAACCAGTCTGGAAACACATTTACACGCACGTACAGGTAACCCTGTACACTCATCGAGACGCTTTTATAACATCAGAACGAAAAAATATCTGAGAATCCCACAATCTCTGTGTCTCTTTGTGTCTCTGATCTTTGATTTGATCCAAACCGCTCTGTTCTATCCTCCTGCACTGCCTGTCTGTATACGTCTGTGACATCACGGTTGTACCTGCTTCGACTTGACAAAGCTGCTAATGACAGAGTACTAAAGACGAGCACCTTTCACTGGCATATAATGATTATGCCGATTTAGATGAATCAGTTCCCAGATGGGGAATAAAGGGTAAACGCTGGGAGGAGCTGCTTCAGGAAAATCTCTCGCTCCTGCATCGCTGTCAAATTGCCTTGTGGCTAGTGATTAAACTTTCTTAAAACGAGTCACTTTGGTATCTTGTCATGGGAGCAAAGCCCAGTAAATTAGAGAAGCATTCTTGCGGTGCAGAGACACCACAAGAATGTCTCAAAACACAGATTATGTGGCAGCTTTTAAGTTGTGAAGGGCTGAAAACTTTTGGGTTGAGGAACAACTTGGTAGTTTTTGACGTAAGGCTGCAGTCAGTCGGGCTGCCTCGATGCCGCTGTTCATTAATGCTGTCGTGAAAAGAACCTTTTTGTATGAAAAAAGGGGTGACTAATACCTGTCTGAGCTCAGTTTACAAATCTCGACGGACTCAGGTAGCTCAGATAGTGAGTCCTGCTCAGATCAGACAGGGGGATTACAGTATTGCACCTGTGAGAGGCTTGTCGGTTTGCTTAACTGACTCCCGTGTTGTAATTTGACATACTTAAGAAGGCTTAATATCTGCAATTAGATTTTATGAACGATACCTAATCAGCTTCCGGTTTACTGGTGCAACCTAGATTGTTAAGACTGTGTATGAAGAGTTCATTTGCAAAAAAACAGATTTTCAGAAAACTTATTTTTGTTGTTGTTTTCTTGAGATGATATCAATCAAACTGAAGTTGGGTGGATTTGACTCAGTAGAAATGAACTTAAGTTTGATTGTCTCAGGTAGACGATGGAGAAGTGGGTTTTCTGAAGGTGTGTGTAAATGGAGTTTGTCTGTTTTTGCAGACGAACTCTTCATATGTATTTGTGAAACACTGAAGTAAAAAGCTCAGGCTAAGAAGCAAAAAGCTCTACATGTTAGTGAATGTTATTGTCTAGAGCGGAGACACGGCTGATCCCAAAGGTCTCCAGTCACTATGATAATCTAAGTTCATCTCATTGTATTACACAATTTCAAACAAACAAAAAAAAAGACATTTGCCACGAAAAGATCCACCAAAACTGACCACTTGCGAACTGTGTCACCGTAGGCTCTTGTGCCCATCTCTGTACATTTTAATTCAACACACCAACATCACATTTTTTTACATTTGTAACTGTTAATTACTAACCCTCGGTTCCAATGCTGCGGCTCTTTCCTGGGGGTGGTGGGTTGCCATCTGCAGGCGGCAAGACGTTTTCCGAGTTCAAGCCAGCATCTGAAAAAACACAGTTGCATATCATGGGTGACAGAAACGCAAAATGAGCCCTTGTGAGGGAACTTTCCCACCCTAGAGGAATATCATCCAGATGTTGGACAGTGTCTCTCTAACACACTATACTGCACTGTTCCCATGTTAAAGCTATTTGATGATAGCATCTATCATCCTAGAAGCACTCCCCAGTTCAGTCCCTCATGGCCCCTCGTGAATGCCCTGCAGAGGCGTCCACAATAAGGACTCTGAATCCCTGCCAGCTCAAAGGGTGTGACAGTGATCTTGTGAACCAGTGTTGGCTTAGATTAAAGGATATTATCTGTCAGGAACAATACCTTAACCTACTCTATATTCACTGGGGGGAAAACCCAAGTGCCTTATACAACATGGGTGACTCAGTGCGGAGAACAGGTTTAGGCTGGGTTGGCCAACGTATGAAGCGGCGAATTAACTTAACGTTTACAGAATCTCAGCGGCCCGTTTATCCCGTAACCTGTTTTCTGGCTTTAACAAAATCCCGACAGGAAATAATAGCAGGGATATGCCCATATTGTAGAACACTCATTGTGAAAGCCAATTTGGTGAATGTTACGTAACAAAGCGACATCATGAGTTTTTTCTCGCCTTTGTTCGACCTTCTCTCCTCTTTGGCCTTGCACCTGCTCTGGTTAATCTTTCCTTTTGGTTTTATACCTACTCTTTTGTCTCTTTTTTCCTCTCGAACGCTCTCCCGACGGTTATCAGGTAAAAGAAACCTTCCACTTCCTTTACACAACCGTGCAGTTTTTTTCTGCGAGAGAAAAGCTAAACATAAAACTACAGGGGTTGTCGAAGAAAGCGCATCACCCCCTTAAATCTCCGGTCTGTATGTGGCAATACTTCTCACACGCTGCATCAGATTAAGACTGACACATGTGGGCGGTGAGGTAACGTTGCATCAGCTGTTACTTTCAGCGACATAAGCACATTCTGCCAGAGCTGCAGTCATTCCTCGTCAGGATGGTGCAATTTCCGCTTTATGAACTCTGGAATTTGACGGCTTTTGGTGACATCTCAGCAATAAATGGCATGCTTACCAAAACTGGTGTAGAAAGGTTGGAAATGCTCAGTTTAGAACAAGACCAGCTGTGAAATATTGGTTAACTTTGCCTTCTTTGGTGATGACAGTTATTGATGCAACATCCAATTGCTAATAAATGGTTAGAAATATGGAACTCTGAGGGTTGTGTACTATTCTTGAGTAGAGGAAGGTGGCATATTCTGTCGTAAAAAGGCAAAGACAAACAACAAGACTGCTTTGGGACAGGATGTGCTAAAATCAGATCAATATAAAAGCGCACAAATCCCAGTGTGAGGAAGGCGTGTGTGAGAAAGCAAATACTATAATAGGATTAAGTAAAATACGAATAAAGTCGAAACTGACAAACCATACAGAAGGACAAAAGCCGTATCTGTTACCGCAGGACTCCAGACTATATACACCCCAGTGTTTTCTTGTGTTACTGTATTGTATTGTGTTTCTCGTAAAATTCTGTATCTTTCACACACATGAGCAGCACTCACAAAGCAATATCCCTGCATGTATTATTAAAATATTTCTCAAAAATGATTGTGGAAAAATAAATCCCGCTGGGGTCATTTGGGAGGTTTCCTTACTGAAATTACGACACACATAATTGAGGAGGTAAAAGCGTATAAGCCAAAATCCCACCTCATAACCTTCCTAAGAGGTTTGTATTTTGTTGAAGGAAAGGCACATCTGTTCCCCATTACTTTGTTCAAAAAACAAAAAAAAAAGGGAGTTGCAGGACAATGATATGTGATAACTTACAAACGCAGGACATATACATTTTTTTAAATGACTGATAATACAAATCCTGTCGAGAGTAATTTCACTGATACTCGCGGGGTCAAAAGAAGACACCGTGGCGATGTAACGTGTTTTGAAAAGTTTGGCGATGAACTGGGGATGGACTTGTCATTTTTCAAATCTGTGTAGTTTCAGCTGGTTGCTGGTGGACAGGCAGTGCTGCAGTAGATTCAGAGGTTATGAGAAAACCTCAATAGAGAGATTTCTGGAAGTAATTTTGCCAGAAACACAATTCTGTCCAGTGATTTACAACCTACTCTGAATCTCATTTGGTGTTGTATTTTTAAAAAAAAGCTTCCATGATATTCCCAACCATCAAATGAACTTCTAACTTTTTAAACGGATTAATTATTAATGTATTTACTGTAATAAAGTGGATTTAACTCTGTTACATACAAGTACTTTTAGTGCATCTTAGAGATTTTGTTTAATAAAACATATTTTTACCTTTGGCAGGCACAATCATGTCTTCGTTAACTGTGGGAACAGACAGAGACCAGAATCAGGGTTAGAGGCAAACATCTTAGATTTCCTTTGTAAAATGGACAAAGTTAGTGGCGCCATTATCGACAGCAGCATTAATCTGTGACTTGGGTCTTTTATACAGTTACAAAAGCAAAACCTTCAAAAGTGTCAAAGGAGCAAAAAGTGAATGTTCAATCTCTATGCCTACTGAACACAACGTACTGGACGTACAGTACAGAAGATGAAGGTGCTCTTTGAATAACTGTAACCTGTCGCTGCCGCAGCTACGCTAACACAACATGACATGTTAATTGACTTACCTCAAACGCGGGGGAGATCACAAACAAGTTTGTACAGTTTCCCCACGTAAAGGACACACATGCTAAAGCGGTGAGATCACCTACAGAATACATGTGTGCAGCCCTCTCTATAGCTCCTCATTATGTGTGTGGTCATAACATGCATTCACTTTACAGAACTGAAGTGAATCGTACAGATAGGTGCTTCTGTTATTTAGCCTTCTGTCGCTGGATGTTGATTTAAACGGGGTGGAAAAATGATAGAAACACCTCTCAATGCAACCGAGCTACACCACAAACTGCATCTTCTAAAATGATCATCGAGCTGAATCGACTCTCTTTAATACTGCTTTAAGAAACAATGCAACCCAGTATCACCTAAATCAGTGGCAGTGGGAAACAAAAGCGACGTGGGTTTTCCCTCTGAATTTGCATGTGCAAGGGTGTGGAAAGTGTGTGCTCAAACATCTCTATTCTTACCGTTAGGGAGAGGTGGCAGGGTTGATACTTCAACAGGTGCTTTATCATCATCTGCTGCTGCTGCTGGTGTTGTCTGGTCAGAAATGTATTAAATAGCATATGAACATGCAGAAAGGACACATCATCTCTAAAACATGATCTCCTGAATAATAGCACATGTAAATAATTTTAAGACTTTGTAAAAGTGCTACTGACCTCCTCTGGAGCAGGTGGTGCCTCAGTGCTTGAAGCAGGATCTACAGCTGGTTGATCAGCGTCTACATCATCAGCTGGCCAGAGACACAAGAGTTTCAGATCAAATGTGTGTTTTTATTATACATTTACAAGTGCTATGACATGGGCAGCTGTGGCTTGTATTGCTCCACCGTCTAGTACAAGTCAAAAGACAAAATCAAAGAGATTGAGAAAGTATTTTAAATTACATTACATTTACAACAATCATATTTGCTTCTTAGTGTAAATCCTGTTTATTTAGGAGTCATGGTCGAAAGCAAAATGTGCACACTGTTAAGCTTTTTGCTGCTGTGCTGTGAGACACTGACTTGATCAAAACGTTTCAAATATACAATGATGAAGAGCTTTTGGAGCAAAGAACAGCGTAGGATGAATGCAACAAAAATTAAGGACATTTTTTATGGTAATCACTACATGTTTACATCAATTTCATTAGAATTTTGAATGTCCAAATTTGAACTACTACCGATTACCTTTTGCTGTAGGTGCTTCAGTCTCAGTGTCCGCTGGAGCAGGTGTTGGGTCTGTATCTTCATTAGCATCAGCTGCTGGGTCTGCAGCAGCTGGTGGTTCTGTGGCTTCATCAGTAGCAGC